TTTAATCACCTTTTTGGTAACTTCATGACTTAACTGATGACATAATACGACATTGCATGCTCGTAGTTTCTTTTGCGCTTTAATATGAAATTATAAACAGCGTGCGCCACTGCATTTGTGCGTGCAATTGAAGAGCATGTGCTACGAGCACAGTATGGTTTTCACTGACATGTGGCCTGACAGCATCTCATCTGATCACAGTTCACTGTTGTTCTGCTGAAGCTCTCATCACCTGGATCTTTTCCTCGCTGGTGCTGAGGTGAAGCTGGCGCGCGCGTCTGAAAGTCTCCCGTTTGATGTGATCATAAAGACGTTCTGCGTCTAAATAAACTCCATTCTTGTCAAGAAAAAGAGACGGAAGCAGCAGTTGTGTGTGAGGTGGCCAACACTAGCTCCGCCCCTGCGTTAAATATTTTTAATGCGTTAAACTGAAAAAATGTATCGCCTGCATTAACGCGCTAATTTTGACAGCACTAATGTGAATATATGTTAAACTGTGATTTATTTCTGTGATGCGCAGCTGTATTTTCAGCATCATTACTCCAGTCTTCAGTGTCACATGATCTTCAGAAATCATTCTAATATGCTGATTTGCTGCTCAAGGAAACCCAGCTACTGGTACCAGTACTTACTGATGTCTCTAGGAAATTTTTCTTTTTCTTAATATTTAACCATTGAATATAGCCATTAAACAATATATGCATAAAAACATTACAGTTTAATTGAGAGCTATCAATCTGAACATTTAGTAGACTTTAAAAAAATAACAACTAATTTAAGTGAACTTAAAACAATCTTCACATAAACCCATTATAATAAATGTCATATTTAGCAACCTGTGCCTTTCAGCAAGTAGGAAATATACAGAAATTGAATAAAGTTATCAAACACTAAATTATAAATTAAATAGATGAATCCTTAAAGCTACAAAAGTTATTGATTTCCTCTTTTTTCTTTTATTCTTGATGAACAGACATCACAGCAGCTGGTTATTAGGTTGTTTTGGCTTATATTTCTTTAAGAGCTGCCGCTGCTGAACGTGACGCGGATCTGACACGCATCGTATTTT